CCACTCCGCAGTCGAATCGTTCCACTTCGCCTATCAGTCGTGGAAGAGGAAAATCAACACCGTATCAATGTATTTTCTGTCAAATTTGTGGAAAATCTGGGCATTCCGCCCTGCATTGCTGGCACAGATCAAATCTCACCTACAAACCACCAACTGTATCACCGGCCAAAGCATTATACACCAACACCTCTCCGGCATCTCCAGATTGGTACCTGGATTCGGGTGCTACCACCCACATTACTGCAGACGCGGCTCAGCTCAAGCAACAGAAACCTTACGCCGGCTCTGACATGGTATCCATTGGTGACGGGTCGACCCTTCTGATATATAGCACAGGAGACGGACTCCTTCCAACACCCGTACCCCATCGTAAGCTCCACCTCAAACACATTCTTCATGTTCCTCATATCTCTCATAATCTACTATCCATACATCAACTCACCAAAGATAACCAATGCTCTGCTTTGTTTGATCCTTATGGCTACCACATCAAGGACTTGAAAACCCATGAAGTGCTCCTCAATGGACCGAGCTCTCATGGTCTCTACCCAATCACCGTTCCACAAAAGCTCTCCGCAAACACCACCGTCGCTCTCAACGCTCGTACCACCTCTAGCAAACTATGGCACTCTCGTTTAGGTCATCCACACAATTTTGTAACTACTGCAGTCACTTAGTTTAAACACTACACCTACTACATTATGCTATGTCTCTTGTAATGTGGCAAAGAGCCACAAACTACCATTTAAATTTCACAAGAAATCTGTAACTACACCACTTACATTAATACATAGTGATGTATGGGGACCTTCACCCATTTTATCTCCAAACGGTTTCAAGTACTATGTCATCTTTATTGTTGATTACTCTAAATTCTCTTGGCTCTATCTTATGCAATCAAAATCAGAAACGTATCATAAATTCGTTCACTTTCTAACCATGATAAAAACTCAATTCAATACAAACATCAAATATTTCAGATCCGACAATGGTGGAGAATACACATCCACACCATTCAAAACTCTTTTAGCCTCCAAAGGTATTATCCACCAGCTAACATTCCCCTACACTCCAGAACAAAACGGCGTCTCCGAACGTAAACATCGTCATATTCTGAAGACAACCCGAGCTCTTCTACATGAAGCTAGCCTCCCTCTAAACTTCTGGACCGATGCTCTCCTCCGTCCATTTTCCTAATTAATCGTCTTCCATCTAAAAATACCTCTCTAACATCCCCATATCACTTATTAACAAATAAACAGCCGAACTACACTCACCTCAAAGTATTCAGTTGCCTTTGTTTCCCCTGGCTCAAACCCCTAACCAAAAACAAATTCTCCCCACGCTTAGCTCCCTGCACATTCATCGGATATTCTAATACCTCCAACGGCTATCGCTGCTATGACCCATCTACCCAAAAAAATCATCCTCCCGACATGTCACCTTCTATGAGGATCAATTTCCCTATGCCAATACCTCACCCATCCACCATACCACCACTACCAATACATCCATCTCCCCTCTGCTCCTAACCCCCACATCTATCTCAACTCAAACTCCTCACAACAACTCAGCAAACCATAACCCAGCACATATACTTCCCTCCTCCTCTTGACCAACCATCTCCTCCTCAAACAATTCCACACATCACACTAACCCGTCCCCAATACCACCATCAGAATCACTTCTCACCCCAATTCAACACCCCATGCTCACTAGATTCAAGACCGGCAACTTGAAACCAAAACAGATATTCACTCTCACGGCTACCCAAACAAACTCTATAACTCCCTCCACCTTCACTCAAGCCAATAAACATCCCAACTGGAGAGCAGCTATGTCCACAGAATTTCATGCTCTACAAAATCAAGGAACATGGGAACTCATTTCACCACCACCAAATCAACCTATTATCAGTTGTAAATGGACATACCGTATAAAACTCAAACCCGATAGCACCATCGATCGATACAAAGCCAGGCTTGGAGCTCAAGGATACTCTCAACAATTTGGCATTAACTTCCACGAAACCTTCAGTCCCGTGGCAAAAATGCCAACCATCAGAATATTAATAACCATTGCACTTCATCATAACTGGTCCATTACACAATGTGACATCCCCAATGCCTTTATACATGGATCCCTTCAAGAAACCATATTCATGAAACAAACCCCCGGTTTCACTGATTCTCAACCCAATCACGTTTGCAAACTACACAAAGCCATATATGGCTTACGTCAAGCTCCACGTCAATGGTTCCAAACCTTCTCTTCATTTCTCATCACCCAACAATTCACCATAAGTCAATCCGACCCATCTCTCTTTCTCTATCGAACACAAAGCACACAAACATTTCTCGTTCTTTATGTCGATGACATTCTAATCACCGGAAATAATCCCACTCATATATCCTCCCTTCTCTCAAACCTTAAGCAACAATTTCACCTCAAAAATCTTGGTCCGGTTTCCCTTTTCTTAGGCATTCAAGTCACAAAGACACATCATTCATATTTCCTTAACCAAACCAGGTATGCTACCTCAATACTCCAAGCGGCTGGTATGGAAACGTGCAAACCAGCTCTCACCCCTATCTTTGTTCACACAAAATCATCCACTGATAGCTCACTACCCTTCTCCGAACCCAAGCTCTACCGAGCAATTCTCGGCTCTCTCCAGCACCTCACTATAACCAGACCAGACATAGCTTTCGCCACCAATCTACTCTCTCAGGTTATGCACCAACCACTCAATCTTCACTTTCAAAAACTGAAACGTCTCCTCCGCTATATCAAGGGAACCCTCGACTTTGGACTACCTATCACCAATGGCGATCTCACTCTCCGCTCCTACTCGGACGCCGATTGGGCCTCAGATCCATCTAACCGACGGTCCACCTCTGGTCATTGCTCATATCTCGGTAATACACTCATTTCTTGGAGTGTCAAAAAACAACCTATTGTTGCCAAATCTTCCACGGAAGCAGAGTACCGGGCTCTCGCCGCAGCCGCTACGGATATTGTCTGGTTGCGTCGTCTTCTAGCAGACTTCACTACTCCTCAACATACAACAACACCTCTACATTGTGACAACATTTCAGCCATGGCCCTCGCAAACAACCCCGTATTCCATGCTCGCACCAAACACATTGAAATAGACTACCATTTTATCAGGGACCGGATCAGTGCCAAAGAAATTATGGTTCATCACATCTCTTCTCAATATCAACTAGCAGATCTTATGACCAAAGCTCTCCCTCCGAAACGATTTGCTGAACTTCGCACTAAACTCACCATCCAGTGCCTGGATGCTTCGTTTGCGGGGCGGTGTTAAGTCATACAAGCTCCACTACCAGCTACAGGCATTCGGTTATTCACCTCCTGTTGTGTCTGGACCGTAGAAGCTCACAGAGCATTTCTCCACTTACTTACATCATTGTACTATCTGTTAAAGCACTGTTCTCTGTAACAAATTGTCTCCTCTCAGCTCTTTATATACCATGTAAACAGTACTATCAAGCATTGAAGATTTGCTCTATTACTCTCATTTTGCTTCAGCTGTGTCTTTTCCAAACTCTTTTAATCAAACCCTACAGGCATAAAAAATTTCTAAGCCACCCTTTAAACCATCGGCCTCAACTAGGATACTATTGACCTAGTTTTAATCCTACATCCTAAAACACTCTTCAAACAACTTGGATCTCCGTTATATGCTCCAAATATGATCTCAGCGCATTACCCTAGCATCCCAAAGTCATTACACCCTTCCATACACCATTAAGCCTTTCCACTAAATAGTGTCCAGCCTAGGTTACCTTAACATAGTATTGTCTTTTTCCCATACTTTGGCCTCCAAACCATTTGGAATGGCACCAACTTCTCCAAATCATATCTAACATGCATTAGATCCTCCACCATAAGAAACCATAGATCCTACTCCCTAAGTAGAGTTATAGGGTTGACGATGACCAAACTCTTTGGCTGACCCCTTTCTTTTGACCACTACAACAACAACAAGAAGCCTTTATCCCACTGTGGGATCGGCTACATGAATCATTTTTTCCTATTAAAAGTCAAATTCTCATTTAAATCTAATAAAGAAATGTCATTTTAGGTTTACCTTTACCTTTCTTAACATAAGCCAAATCTAATACATCTACTTTCCTAATCGGATCATCAGAATGCTGTCATTTTATGTGACCAAACCATTTAAGGCGACTCTCTCTAATCTTCTCTTCCATAGGAGCTACCCCTACCTTTTCATATATTTAGTCATTTCGTATCGTGTCTCTAAGAGTAAAGCCACTCATCCACCTGAGCATCCTCATCTCTACAACACTTAACTTAATATTATGTCAACATTCTGCACCATAAAGCATTGCAGGTCTCACCATCATAGAGCATTGTAGGTCTCTTTTGCCCACTACCTCCAATGAAATTATTCCAACCACCAAAGAGTGTTTCTCAAATCCTTAGATTGCCACCAAAGCAAGTGAAAGCATCCTATCACCCATTCAAATGCTAGGTCAATTATTAAAATTTGATTACCTGTTAAATGGTAATATATTATATTTTTATTTATTAGCCTAGTGCATATTTCCAATTCCCATCTTTTATTTTCATAATATCATATTTTTTTTCCATGCCTTTGAGTTTCGACGCTTGAAGCCTCCCCAATCGCCTGGTCACTTGCATCAATGATGGTACACCAACGTTGTGACTCATATGGGAAAGCTTTGACTATAGAAAAATCTAAACAAGTCAAGTACAAAAATATGGGAAAGCTTGGATCAAACTGTAGCCCAAAGAAACAACTTCAGTATGACTAAGCCAAATCCAATCTATGATGTGATCGGCTCAGCTCGGCTCTATTACAGCCCTAATATTCCATTTAAGTTACCCTGTTTAACCCAGCACAAAAATTGTAACTTCTTTCAAAACTAAGACAAAAAATAAACAAAATTTAGCCAATATTGGAATCAATCAGATTGACAAAGCGATACCTGATATGAAAATATCATTGTATTCATCCTCATCATAAACAAATTGAGGTGGGTCTGGCGAACCAATTCCTACGATGGTGCTTCCGCTGCTTGAAATATTAGCAGATCATAAGCCCATGATGAATTTACAAAGAAGGCAACATGACAAAGATAGATACAAATAAATATAATGAAGAAAAAAATTAAATACAGATATTCACTTTCTTACAATGTCATTGATCACAATTAAAGGAAGTGTACATATCATTTAGAAAAAGATGCTACATAGACCTATTTTTAGTAATAATGGCTGTGAAGTATATTGATAAGACTCTAGAAGTGCGTTCATAGGAAAATGCTAAAAAGACATGGTATTTCCTAAAGAAGGCATGGAATGTATTTAACAGTCATTGATTTTTTTTTTTTTTTGGCGGTCTATGAGGATTTGGACAGTAACATTTTGATAGGACACATTTGTAGATCTCAACTATTTTCTATCATTCTTCGAAAAACAACGAGATTTCTCCACAAAATCACGAAAATAGTAAATAATTTGCATTATTTGGTGAGAGGGAAACAGAAAATACCAAAATACAATTGATCCTCTATTTGAGAGGAGGATCGGTCTCTCCCAATCTCTAAACGCCGCTAGAGCCCAAAGAAACCATAAGAGATCACAAATTGCAGCCAAATTCAAGATGTCATAACCCTAGGAAAACTAACTATTTAATGCATACAAATCAAAAGGAAATCCCAAAAGAGTCATTACATTCAAATTTTCCTCCTAACTCCCTCAAAAATCCTTCCTAAACGGCTCACGCAGGCTAGGCGTGTGCTCGGCGCGTACAGGAGGTGGACATTTCCGCCTCTATTCGTGGATGTCGGTCCCATCGGACTGGCTGGACCGGTCCAATGGATCGGTCTAACACATTTCTCTATCACAAGTAGTTATTGATTCATCCAAGGACAGTAGAGTCAAGACAATAGGGAGTCAACCGGTAAAACATGGATATACATCAAATTCTTCTATATGATATTAATAAATGGAATTTGTGTAAGGTTATTTTTTTACCTTCCAGACATGAAAACAGCGCTGTACTGTCCACGCCCTGCAGCTAGCACGCGTTGCTTCAACTTCTTCAAAGACGGCAAAACATCAAATGCAGGGGCCTCTGGTAGAAGTGAAAATGAAAAAGAAATGATAAATAAAAGATTATTTAAGCAAGAGTGTCAACATAAAGTGGAAAAATAGTAAGATTGTGGATTATTTTTCATTGGACCCTGAATACCTAGATCATTTATGCAGACATCTTGAGATATTCCACTTTGAACACATTTTTCGAGCAACGTCAATGGGTCAACTGAACTAGTTTTACCAAGATGAAGTCGCTGCATGAAAGTTTTATGTCAGTAACTGCTTATGTTTCAGAGAGTAGCTTAAAAATCCAGAGGTTTTTGATGCCTTGTACACTTCGGCAGTTGGGCATGCTTCTTGGGGCTTTATAAGAACCATTGGCAAGTCCGTAGGTAATGCATGCGGAAGATCTTGGACAACCTGAGAAAAATGATCAATAGTTAAGCAGCATATCATTTATTTTTCTCACGAAAAATAAAAAAATAAAACAGTTGTACGCTTGAGATTCCACAGACATTAGACAAAGTTAGGAGTGTACTCATGAAAGCTATGAAATGAAATAATTATCCGTGGAAATTCATGCAACCTTAAAGTACTAAATTTACCGCCTCATAATCAAATTTGAAATAATTATCTATTTTATCTTTTTACTTAATCAACCAGAGCTTCAAAAAACTATAATATAAATGCTATGGCAAAGGCAGTTTTTAATTTTGGCTTAAAATGACTCCTAAAAAATTTATTTATATGGATCAAAATAAAGACTATTACACTAAATGACTAAGAAAGAATTTCAATAAATTACTACAGGCATTTTCTTTTCCATTTTTTCATGACTAAACATATTTCTATGCATTTGTTTTCCTTGCTTCCTTCCAATGTTTGCACGCATCAATCTTCACTCAACATTATTAATTTTCAGAAAAAAAAAATATTTTTGCTACCTTTTAATGTTTGCATGCATCATCTTCACTTAACATTTTTAATTCTAATATTGTAATACTGTTACACAGGAAACTACCAGGCTTATGATTTGAAAATAAACATGAATATGCATCTAATAAAAATTGTGCACCTTCCTAAAAGGTTTCACAAAGTGATGTTATTTTGCCAGGCGTTTACAGGCGCTGTTGGTTGGTATTTAACATTAATATTGGTTGTTCATGACTGTCATAATTAATATAGTTAGGATAAGAATGGAAACAGAAACATTTCTGATAGGTCTAGATACAGAGCTTTATGATTAGTGCTGAATTTGGTAATGTAAACAAGGCCCCTTACATGTTATAACAAAAAGGGGTAATAGCTAGTAGCCAATAATTTACACGGGCTAGGAATTAACCATTGAAATGAATGAAGGAAAAATATCAAAGCAGTTTTAAATTAACATATATGCATCAAATTGAATATTGACAAATATAACAACCAAAGAGTAAAACCTTAACATACCTCACCCCTCCCGGTACAATATGCAGCCCCATTCGAGAAAAAAAATGGAATATCTGAACCAATTTCACCTGACCATTCCTGAAGCTCTTTTTCAGTAACAAGAAAACCACTAAACTGGTTGGCAGCCCACAAAGCAGTTGCTGCATTACTACTTCCACCACCAAGCCCAGCACCAGTAGGAACTTTTTTGTCAAGATGAATCTATTTGAATTATAAGCGATAAAACAAATACAGCCAGTATAAAGAAAAGTAATGAAAAAGATAATTTCCACTCAAGCAAATCCACTGGAAACTAGTTATTCGATGACAATACCCAAAAGAAATTATTTGTCCCAGTTTTCTTCCTGTAGAGATTGAGAGCTTTGATTATCTGCAAAAGCAATGGCAAAAGATAATCATTTGTATGAATTCTAAATGGAAGTAATAACCATTTGTGAGGTAGCTGAAAGCAAAATTAAAACACATAACGAATGTGCAGTTATTCCAGTAAGACTGACAATTCTAACTCTTATGAATAGAAGTGAAAAAGAAAAGTAAAGTAGGAAAAAAGAGAAAGAAGAGATGTGCCTCACCAAATTTCTATCATCAACTGGAACTCCTGGCACATTAGTTGACAGGCGATCCTTTGTCTTTGATGGTGACAAGGAGAATTTAATCGTATCTCCCAAACTAATTACCTGGTATCTTAAACAAGGAACATGGTAACCCAGCGTTAAAATATTGTCAAACTATTCAAATTCTACATTATGAGTTATGAATTCAGCAAAAAACAAACAATTTACAAAAGAAAGCTGCATGATAAACAGCATAAAAGTACTCGAAAAATGGTCAATGTGCACCATTAACTTTCTAACAACTAGTTATAATAATGCAGGAAATCCATTTCTAGGTTAAGAAAGATAATTACATGGAACAAAGAGGCCAAATCATGAAATCCATCTTCCCTCTTTCCAGTTATCCTCAAGAAAACATTGATCTGCACAATAAAATCCGTCACAATCATCACAAAACAAAAACCTCAAATTGTATTGACGGAGACAAAAATTTCACATTTTTAATCGTAATTACCTTACAGGGCGAGAATAAAGTCAACCTAGAAAGCTTAGTGTTCTTATCCACTTCATCTGCCAGCCTATTAAACCTCTCCTCCGGATCATAAACAATCTAAAGTCCACCCCCGCCAAAAACAGAACTGAATCAAACCAAACCGAAAGAGCATCCACCAAGATAAAGTTCAATGAGAGGAATTGAACGAGAAATGTGTACCTCCACTTGCCTCCTCCCAGTTTGTGCCGCACAAGCGAGTATTCTACCAAATTTGTTCCCGTTGACATCAGAACTAGATTTGAAAGAGTAATGTCCTCGTCGGAAAATCGATGGGGAATCCCCTCTTCGTGCAAGTGAAGCTGCTCCTCTCGGGTATGAGAAGGATGAAATGAGGTGGTTGGACACAGAAGCCATTTGACAGCTGTAAGAAAGCTGAGAAGAATTTGAGCTCCTGTAAGGGTTCCATGCTATTTGGTAAACCAATTTGGCATCCTGCCAAACAATTTTTTGTATCAATATCAATAAATTTCTATATATTTATATATATTGATCACTTAAATATTTATATTTATTTATATAACATCTTAATCTTTAAATAATATTTAAAAAAAATTAGAATTAACTTATTTAAAGTAAAATACATATTTTCATTCATATATTTTGATATTATTAAGATTATGTTAGGATCTTGAATGAAGAAGAAGCTCTTCCTTCTTAGCTTCTTGGGAAAGAGAGGGATGGGAAAAGGGCAAGGGAGAGAAGTGAAATCGGAGAATTCTTTATTGCTTGGCCTACCATTTATTACAAGCTATTGTTTTATTTGTAGACAACAATGACTATACTAATGACAATATAAATCATATAAAAAAAATTAAAGAAAGTACAAAGAATTCTAACTAAATATGGATCAATTCATAATAGATTAGTATATAAAAAATAGAAATATTATATATATATATGAGATATTTAAATACATAAGAATTCAATGTTGTGTATGTAAAACCCTTTTAATTTATATGCCTTATAATGCTTGAAATTAGATAAATATGTCTAATGCTTCATTTCATAGCTTCTATAACATAGTAATTTTATAAATTATAAATTGATTTGTAAATTCATCAATGTTGGTCAATAGAAGAGAAGCATAAAATTAAGCGTTGCAAAGATGAGGGTGCCCACGTGAATTAATGGTTTCAATCTTGGGGACAGAATGTGAAATGAGTATATGCCTGAAAAGGTTGGAGTAGCTCAAGTGGTAAATAAGATTAGAGAGAGTCATCTTAGATTATTTGGTCACATAAAACATCAACCTTTCGATTACCTGATTAAGAGAGTAAATGTATTCATGGGCGGATTTAGAGGGGGGCCTAGGAAGGCACGTGCTCCCCCTAAAAAAAAAACTTTATAGGGTGCTCCTTGGCTGTCATCGTCTCTTTCCATCTCTCTGCTACCTATCTTCTCTCTTCTCTCTCTCTCTTTGCCATTTTATTATTATAGATGGCAACCTCCTCCACTAGCCCACCTCTCCTTCTCTCTCTCTCTCTCTCTCTCTCTCTCTCTCTCTCTCTCTCTCTCTCTCTCTCTCCATGATGGGTGAGACTAATTTTCTCTCTCCATCTTCACTAATTTTTTTTTAAATCTATAACTAAATTATAAATTAATCTATAATTTCCGTATCATCCATTTTACAACATCTATTAATTTAATGAAAATTTAATGCATATGATCCGTATAATTAATAAAAATAGAAATGAAGTAGACAATAAATACAATGGTAATGTAATGTTCAAAAGGGATTTATGAATCAATATTTCTATGAAATAATATATATACTTAAAAGTTCCATGAAGAATTATATGTGATCATATTTTACTTCTAACTTATTCTTCTATGAAATCAAACATATTATGTGTTGTGTTACATACACTTCATAGATGCCTTTATAAATAAGGTGTAAGAGATTCATCAATTAATATATGTAAAATCTATTTGAATTATGATTACTTTTACTTAAATTATCTAATGATTTACCTTATGACAGTCTTGAAAACCTTTATGTGGATTTATTGTCAAATAACATTGAATGCTCAAGCAACCCAAGCAAAACACTTGTAGAACGAATTTATTATTGCAAGTAAGTTCTAAGACGTTGTGTAAAAAGGGTCACAATTATATAACTTTAAGGTTTTTGTAGATATTGGGATTTCACGTACCACCTAATGAATTTTATTCCAGTTCATTAGAAAATATATGACTTATACAATATATCATGTCATCAATAGCTCATCCTAGCTCACTTCTAAGATACTATCTTCATACCACTTGAATGACTGCTTCTTCTTTGTCTAATTGTACATCACAATTGTTATTCTATGTTGATGATCAAATATTTCATTCAATAAAATTATGTATAATTCATAGATCTTTTGGATAGCTCCATATTTGCTTCCTTATTAGGAAATATAAAAAATAAATATGTTACCAAAAAATAAATTTAATATATTAAATTAATTTCTCACATGTTTAAGAAAGCAAAATATTTGTTATCTTACTATCTAATCATACTGATAGAGCATTCAACTACTTAAACTACTCTGCATTTTTACTTCCCACTTCTAATTCCTCATAATCATCAACCTAACCTAATATATAAGCCTTAAAATTAGACAACTTCTCCCGATCGATGGAGTGGAGTTGATTAATGATGTATGGATCGGTGGGCTTGTGTCTCTTCCCCGATGAATTTATGAAATTCCTAATCAATTATCGTTTTCTCTTATGTGACTAAAATATGTTGTTTGCTAATTGCACCTCACACTCTTTCAATCTCTATGAATGGAGTCACAACCCCTTCTCAGCCTTCATTCACACATGTACATGGCAAGAGATGGGTTACATCTTCCACTGCCACACCTTACACTTTTGTTAAGGAGCACACCTTCAATAGTAAAGCACATCCTAGGCTTCCATGAATCATCTTCATAACACACTTCATAAATTTATTTTTTAAGATAATGTATTATTGACATTCTTATCCACATTGAAGTTGAACTCAAATAGCCCGTTGTGTATTGTTATCCTTTTGAACTCAACATCATATGGGAAACCTAAACACTAAAACAAACTTTTCAATTCTAAAGGTCAAGTTCTTCCATCTAATATTGAATATATTGAAGTTCTCACCCTTCTCTTCATCAGTAACCATTCTCAATAATAATTCATGAATGAGACATCAAAGAATTGCATTTTAGGATTGTTAAAGAAGGACCTAAAGAGAGATCCCTCAACTAGAGTAATGAGATCATTAGCCTCAATTTTACTAAGCAACTAATTCATAACACCCTTTGACTTTATATGTAACATAAACAAAGAAATGCCTATGAACTTATAATATTGGCTCAAATATTTGCATATATAGTAAAACAACTCAAATGAGTAAATCCTTATACATCTTCAAACATGTTCAGCAATATTCAAATCAACTTTGATGCATTTTAGCCTTACTCAAACTTATTCGAACCTTATTTTAACTTTGTATTCAAATTATATTCAAACCTTAATCAATTATCTTCACAAAGGATCCAGCATAGTTTTGATCAAGAGTTAGCTTCGAATTAGTTCGAGAAAGGCTAGAATGTGTTGATCATAAAAATAAAAAAAATCAAATGCAACTCATTTTTTAACCTTGAGAGGCAAACTAAAAAATAATACTAATCCTCTAATACGATGAGCATGGAGAGATTGTCACTATGACTTTATATCATAAGTCATGCACTCAATGATCACCAACAACACAAAATGAACATATGTAGGGTTATATATCACTTCTTCATGTGGTTTCCATCTAATTGTTTAAAAGAGGTGATATTTTAGTTTTAGGGTTTAGGGAACTTTTAGATATATTTCTTTAAATAATGAAATAGATGGCATATTTCTTGAAATTTGAGGCATAAAATTCAAATATATATATATCTCTCTCTCTCTAAATATTTTTAAACCAAAATAATATTAATTTACTAAATATTTTTTCTATTTTTATTATTAATATATATATATATATATATATATATTAAATGAATTTTAACAAAACTTTTTCTATTCATTTAACATTGCCTTAATTTTTTTGTCAAATGTTAACAACAAATAAATTAACATTTTTAGGATGTTTTAAGTTGTTTTTTAATATATATTTTTGCATATGACTTTTATATTCTCCTGCATTGCACTTTATCAGATCTCTTCCATCCAAAAAATCTTCAAAGTTGTTTCCTTTCCATCACTCTCCTCCGAAAACTTTAAGATGTTTCTCCCGCAATCAAGCCACGGAGGAATTCGAAAGGCTTTTCTCCAATCTGAACCAGGCAACGATGAAAAGAGAACCAGGTTTACCTTTCAATTTCTAAACCCTTCAATTGCTCCTATTCTTTTGAATTTTTTTTCTGCGATTAAGTATTGATCTGGAGTTTTTCTTGTTCGTCAGGCAGTTTAACCAGTGCTATCTTTTTGGTGGCTGGAACCACAGTATGCATTTTTTCTTCTTTTTGAGAAGAAACACATTGTTGAGGGCACTGATAGTCTGTACTGTTTACTGTTTGTAGGTAGGCGCTGGTATACTAGCAATTCCTGCTGTCACACAAGAAGCTGGCTTTCTGGCCTCTGCAATAACATGCATCCTTTGCTGGATTTATATGGTAAGATTCTGCCTATTAATTAAGCAACTTTATGTGCTTTTTATGGTGTTTGAATTTCGACAAACAGTTTTTTCATGATGCAATCATTTTAGATGAGAAATTTTGTTATTCCTGGCTGATCATAATTTGCAGGTTGTGACAGGATTATTGATTGCTGAGGTAAATATGAACACAATGTGCGAGCTTGGTTCTGGAGGGGTATCACTGGTAAATCATCATTTTTAAAATTGCTTGTCATTTCTATGATTTATTTTTTTGAAATCGAACCATTTACTATTGCTTGGTTTTTTATTCATTCTTCTTCTATGTGATACATTTTTTAGCCACTATGAGCAACTTCTAAATTAGCATATGGGGAAGATATCATTGCTGTCCCAGTTGTTGACTAGACTGGTTCCAGGAAAGGGGGAAGAATGGGTGATACACCTCTCATTGTCTAATTGTTTTGCATTCTTGTGTTTCTATTGCAACTATCCCTGCTGCTTTGCTTGGATTAAGTAGGGTGATTAGCAACTATTGCAAGATACTTCGCCATGAATTTTATATTGAAAGCTCGTGTGGTTCTTGACAAGACTTGATTTTATTTTAAAACCCTATGATGAGGCCTTGTATACCCTCGCCCTTGAAAGCGATGCTTGGAGGTGCAAAATCTTTTGGGGAAATTTTAGAGGAGGAATAATGGGAGATACACTTCTCATTGTCTAATTGTTTGCATTCCTATGTTTTGGTTTCCATCATCACTGTTGTTTTTGTTTGGATTAAATAGGGTGATTGCCAACTACTGCAAGATACTTGCCCCATGAAGAGCTCATGTTGTTTTTGCCAAGACCATTTTTTTTTTGAAACATTATGATGTTGTTTTTTATATTCTTTCCCACAAAGCTTTAGTGATTCCATTACAAAATATTTTATAAGATGGAATTATTTATTTTTCTTTTCAGGTTTCAATGGCCATGCGGACTCTTGGAAGAGTTGGAGTTCAAGTTGCTTGGTATATGCCTACAAAGTTATAGGGATAATCTTAAGTTACTAATGTCAAAGAAGAATTAAGTTCATCTTTACCTCCAATATCAAAAGGAAAGAGCATCTTTCATGCAAATTCATGTGGAGAACTCACGTGGCATAGCATAGAAGTATGCTATTCAACCATATTAAATGGCAAATATTTGGTTTAGTATTTAGATGGTCATTATTCAAACTTTAGCGTAATTGCCACTTGAAAACCTTTGATTTAATTTAAAGTCTAACTAGTATGCTACTATGCTCTCTAAAACACTATGCATTCCAAAAGGTTCATAATCATGATCCAAACAATCTGAAAATGAAAAGTCTCATACACACCATTGCTTTTCAAAGAAAGAAAAGGAGTGATTATGCAGATATCATTATTATGAGGCTCGTTGTGTAGTCTGTTCATGCTGTTTCTGTGTCTTCTTCTTGGAGATATTACATTAATGTGTTACATAGTAGAACTTGATATAGAGTTAACCAAATTTATTTATTGAAGTGGTCTGGGCAATGTCTTTTATTTGGATTGTCTGCATATTTGTTATTTTGATGTTTGTCTTTTCTGCAGCTGGTCGTACTTATTTATACACTACGCACTCCTTGTGGCATATATAGCTCGATCTTCAGATATCTTGACAAATTCCTTTGGCATTCCATTGTATGTATCTTGATCTCCATTCTTTTATTGGAATTGTAAGGATGAAGTCGTTGTTGCCCAGAGATTTGATTAAGATATTACTGCGGTGCAGTTTTCAAAGATATTTGATCAAGATAATAACACCAAACTGGAATGCAAGCTACGTTTATAGCTATAAACATAAAATATCACAGGGGAAAATGTAACTGAAGTTTTCACTTGCCGAACAATGGGAACCTTAATATGCATTGAAGTAATTTATTGATTGATTCAATTGTAAGTACTCGGATAATGTAGAATTTCTTCTGTTTGTTTTCCAATTTATTTGGCTGGAACCATTGCTTTTGATTTTCAAGTTGAGTTGACTTGAATAACATAATGTAAATTTGTTGCACCTTCTAAAGCTCAGGTACAATTTTAGTATTTAATGTGCTTCAACTTTGTAACTTTGTATAGGATGGTTGATATTAGATCAAATCAATTTAAAATCTCTCTCATAATTTTTGAGGATTTAAGAAAGTCAGGATAAATGTTTTAAAGTGTAAGGAGGTCAAAGAAGCACTTGTCCAATTCATTCCTTGAAGGTGTTTGGCCTTCAGGTCAGTTAGCTGGAGTTGAAATGGGTCATAGTTGATCAGGCCAGGAGAGAAATTACTCTCTTTCTCTCATGACCAAGAAGATTTAAAAAGTCTAATTAGTGAAAAATAATCACTAGGGGTTCTATTTGTAGCTTGAGCGAAGGGTGCTTGGGCATTTGGAAAGATAATTAACAGAGAATTTGATGTTGTGATGACATAATTGACTAGCATAGCCTTCTAGCATTCTGGAATCTCTTGGATATTAGCTTGATCATACAGTGAGCGGCATAATGCTGACCTCTAGAAGAGAGCAACTGGCTGTGGACAGTCATTTGGGGATTGAAGAAGGTTTGTCAGTGCCAACCTTAGGTGGACGTTGTGTTCTTGCATTGTGGTTCTGCCCAGCTCCACAAATTTAATTTTGGGTTCTGTGTTGAGTGTATAGCGTCAACTAATAGATTCCATTGGTTTAGGGGCAGTGGAAGCCAGTTTCAACTTCCAGATCCAAATGGATTCTATGTTTTTTGCATTATCCTCAATTTCTTTATTTTAAACGATCACTAGATTATCGTTTGACTTATATTTCTTATAATTTTTAGTTTACATAATAAATCAGGTAGTTGTTTCAAACTGTTGGTATTTGCATTGCAATTTTTCAATCAAAATTGTTTATTTTCATACATCTCGTCAAGTAGTCGCAATAAGAATACTGGAACTTTAAGCATCCTGCGTGAATACCTTATCAGGTTCCGGATAGCAGGTGTGGATTAAAGAATAAATCTGTTCGACATCCTTTATTTTCTGTCCAAGAGATAAGATAGTTTAAATAATGATCGATGGGCCTTGAAAGATTTGTGCTGTAACTCAAATTTTTATGTATTTCTCTGTACAATCTCTAATTAATCTTAAGGTATTTCTATTATGATTTTTAGATGTTTGGGTAATATTGATTAGTATGTGTTTTTTTTGGCACGCCTTACCTCCATTTGGGTTGTGTATCTGACAATGCTATGCATTTTTTTTTTCGTTAGAATCATGTTTAAACTTTTTTGCCAGTATTCTATTTTTTAATATTTTCTTGAGCACTCTTGCAGATGGGAGAGTGCCACCTTATTTTCGTTAATTTTCGGAGGTATATGCTACTATGGAAGGTCTGTTATTAGCTCACTTTATAAGTTTAGATGTGTGATTGAATTTCACTTTGTTATGAGCATAAGCCACAAGCACCTTCGTGCTTAGATCTAAAAAGACTTGATTAGAAAAATAGAAATAATCTTTCTTTATTAGATTTAAATGAGAATTTAACTCTTAACATGACACAATGGAAAAGATTCATGTAGCCAACCTCTTATACTGGGATAAAGGCTTGATGTTGTTGTTGTTGTGCTTAGATCCATGTAATATAACCAATTCAATTATAATTTCATAAAAGATACCTTTTAAATCTTCATGATATCCTTTTATCCTATAATGCTCTAAAAACACTTCTCCATTTTAACCACTAAATCTTAACTCTTGAAGCCTCATTTATATCTTTAATTTTCTATATAATAATTTTAAGATACCTAAAACTTATCATTATAGGTACCAATCATTTTACTTTTGATAATATTAATTGAGAGAAAAAGCCCAGAATAGTCCCCTGCTATTCTTATATGGCCAATTTAGTCCCAAAGTATCACATTTCTTCAATTTAATCTCTCTATAATAAAATTGATTCTCAATTATCACTCTAGTAGAAATTGATTCAAATTGGGATATAAAATTAATCTCAATTTAGTTCATTGACTATGCAATATTGATCCCAATTTAGTGTATAAGGGACTATTTGGGATCAATTTTGTATAGTTAAAAATTAAGTTGGAAAAACGTGATACCGTGAGGCTAAATAGGCCACATATGAATATTTGAGAGATTATTTTAAACTTTTTTTTTCTGTTGACTAATAATTGTTAGCATCATGCCTACTGGAATTTTATGCCATATAATTAGTCTTTGTTTTGCAAATTTTAAACTTTTTATCTTCTAAATATTTTCATCATAGTTCAAACTTTTTATTTATTTTAGTGAATGTCTTGCTGAATAAAACTATCCTTTGTGAAAACATTCACCAAGATATTTATTTTGAATGTCCTTTAGAAGTATCTCCATGAGCAATATAAAAAAGTATGAACTGAATGCCAATTTATGATGCACAGACACAAACAAGACAACACGGATACAGCATGACACAAAAACGGGACATGTCCATTATTGAAAATATAGGACATGGATACGGGTTGGACGGTATTATAATTTTTATATTTTTAAAAGTGTATAAAAATTGAATAAGTATAATATTAAAAATAATTTATAAATAATCGATGTCGTGTATCAAGCATCGAGAGAGGAGACAATATTGCTGTTGAGAGTCGGACATCAATGTTATGCAGTAAGTATCGAGCTTCGATGTCAAGAGAGTGTCTTTCGTCGATGTTGAGAGGGTGTTGGGTCGTCGATGTTAAAACAACATAGGACGAAGATGAGCTATCAACTTGTGGGTGTAAAAATTGCTAACGTCAAGCATCAATGTCAAGACAATGTTAGACTTTGATGTTGAAATTATTTTGAAATGTAGTATGCTATTCAACCATATTAAATGGCAAATATTTGGTTTAGTATTTAGATGGTCATTATTCAAACTTTAGCCTAATTGCCACTTGAAAACCTTTGATTTAATTTAAAGTCTAACTAGTAATGCTTTCTAAAGCACTATGCATTCCAAAAAGTTCATGATCATGATCCAAACAATCTGCAAATGAAAGTCTCATACACTAACACAATTGCTTTTCAAAGAAAGAAAAGGAGTGATTATGCAGATATCATTATTATGAGGCTCGTTGTGTAGTCTGATCATGCTGTTTCTGTGTCTTCTACTTGGAGATATTACATTAATGTGTTACATAGTAGAACTTGATATAGAGTTAATCAAATTTATTTATTGAAGTGGTCTGGGAAATTTAGTTGTCTTTTATATGCATTGTACGCATATTTATTATTTTATTTTATTTTTTTTATTTACACCACCATTTGATGATTGCTTTTTCTGCAGCTGGTCATACTTATTTATACACTACGCACTCCTTGTGGCATATATAGCTCGATCTTCAGATATCTTGACAAATTCCTTTGGCATTCCATTGTATGTATCTTGATCTTTATTCTTTTATATGGAATTATAAGGATGAAGTCGTTGTTGCCCGGATATTTGATCAAGATATTAGTGCGGTGCAGTTTTCAAAGATATTTGATTAAGATAATAACACTAAACTGGAATGCAAGCTACGTTTATGGCATTCCATTGTATGTATCTTGATCTTTATTCTTTTATATGGAATTATAAGGATGAAGTCGTTGTTGCCCGGATATTTGATCAAGATATTAGTGCGGTGCAGTTTTCAAAGATATTTGATTAAGATAATAACACTAAACTGGAATGCAAGCTACGTTTATATCTATAAACATAAAATATCACAGGGGAAAATGTAACTGAAGTTTTCTCTTGCCGAACAATGATAACCTTAATGTGCATTGAAGTAACTTTTGATAGATTCAATTGTTTTTTTTTTTTTTTTTTTTTAGACAATTTTTTTTTTTTTTTTTTTTTGATAGATTCAATTGTAAGTACTCGGATAATGTAGAATTTCTTCTGTTTGTTTTCGAATTTATTTGGCTGGAACCATTGCTTTTGATTTTCAAATTGTATTGACCTGAATAACATAATGTAAATTTGTTGCACCTTCTAAATTACTCTCTCTCTCTCTCTTGCTCTCTTCTCTCAAGACCAAGAAGATTTAAAAAGCTAATTAGTGAAAAATAATTACTAGGGGTTCTATTTGTAGCTTGAGCGAAGGGTGCTTGGGCATTTGGAAAGATAATTAACAGAGAATTTGATGTTGTGATGGCATAATTGACTAGCATAGCCTTCTAGCATTCTGGAATTTCTTGGATATTAGCTTGATCATACAGTGAGCTGCATAATGCTGACCTCGAGAAGAGAGCAACTGGCTGTGGACAACCATTTGGGGATTGAAGAAGGTTTGTCAGAGTCAACCTTAGGTGGACGTTGTGTTATTGCATTGTGTCTCTGCCCAGCTCCACAAATTTAATTTTGGGTTCTGTGTTGAGAGGTGTACAGCGTCAACTAATAGATTCCATTGGTTTAGGGGCAGTGAGGCCAGTTTCAACTTCTAGATCCAAATGGATTCTATGTTTTTTTGCATTATCCTCAATTTCTTTATTTTAAACGATCACTAGATTATCGTTTGACTTATATTTCTTATATTTTTTAGTTTTCATAAAAAAACAGGTAGTTTTGTCAAACTGTTGGCATTTGCATTGCAAGTTTTCAATCAAAATTGTTTATTTTCATACATCTCGTCATCTAGTTGCATTAAGAATACTGGAACTTTAAGCTTCCTGCGCCAATTCCTTATGGCAGGTTCCGGCTGGCAGGTATGGATTAATGAATAAGTCTGCACGACATCCTTTATTTTCTGTCCAAGAGATAAGATAGTTTAAATAATGATCAATGGGCCTTGAAAGATTTGTGGTGTAACTCAATTTTTTTATGTATTTCTCTGTAAAATCTCTAATTAATCTTAAGGTATTTCTATTATGATTTCTAGATGTTTGGCACGCCTTACCTCCATTTGGGCTGTGTATCTGACAATGCTATGCATTTTTTTTTTTTCCATTAGAATCATGTTGAAATTTTTTTGCCAGTATTCTATTTTTTAATATTTTCTTGAGCACTATTGCAGATGGGAGAGTGCCACCTTATTTTCGTTAATTTTCGGAGGTGTCTGCTACTATGGAAGGTCTGTTATTAGCTTACTTTATAAGTTGAGATGTGTGATTGAATTTCACTTTGTTATGAGCATAAGCCACAAGCACCTTTCATGGCTTATGGATGCTCACTGGTCGGAATTGTTGATCTAACTGTTTAGAGAATCACATTTATACTCTTGTTCTTGAAATGGATTAGGATTATATCAGGTTAAACCTAGTAATTTATTATCTAACCTTTAGGGAATTAAAAATTGGTTTTATATACACCAAATTTCTCATGCATATATACACTTTAGGAAACTTGATTATATAAACCTTTAAATCTAGTGCGTGTTGATGGAATGGTAAATTATCTTTGTGATCATCATTACTAGTCTAGTCCTAGCTATTGGAGTTGGATTTATAAATTCTCATTTTCTATTCATTTCTTTTGAGTATTGCGTGAATTGTTAAACCTATTCTCCATAAATCTTTTTGAAGAAGTTATGCCTATATATTAAATTAGGTCTTAATAACTCAACTCTAATTATATATGTCTAGTGGGCTTATTTTGTACCCTTCATTTTGCATGTTCATACCACATGAGTCTCTTTTCAACACTCATATTCAATAAATGCTACCCTAGTGATACTCGTATAAATAATTCTTAATTCATCTCTTTTTTTTTTCAAAATTCATATTTCTTTCGCTCTTAAATTATTTATCAACAACTTTTTTTACTGCTTTGTGCTTAGGTCTAAATGAACTTTCTTTATTAGATTTAATTGAGAATTTAACTCTTAACATGACTCTTAACATGACATAATGGAAAAAAGGATCCATGTAGCCGACCCCACAGTGGGATAAAAGCTTGATGTTATTGTTGTTATTGTTGTGCTTAGATCCATGTAATATAACCAATTCAATTATAATTTCCTAAAGTTACCTTTTAAATCTCCATGATATCCTTTTATCCTATAATACTCTAAAGACAATTCTCCATTTTAACAACTAAATATTAACTCTTGAAGCCTCATTTATATCTTTAATTTTCCATTTGATAATTCTAAGATACCTTAAACATATCATTATAGGTACCAATCATTTTACTTCTGATAATATTGATTGAGAGAAAAAGATCAGAATAGTCCCCTTACTTTTCTTTTGTGGCCAGTTTATCCCAAAGTATCACATTTCTTCAATTTAATCTCTCTATAATAAAATTGATTCTCAATGGTCACTCAAGTAGAAATTGGGACATAAAATTAATCTCAATTTAGTCCATTGACTATGCAATATTGATCCCAATTTAGTGTGTAAGTAACTATTTGGGATCAATTTTGTATAGTTAAATATTAAGTTAGAAAAATGTGATACTGTGGGGCTAAATAGGTCACAAATGAATATTTGAGAAACTATTTTGAACTCTTTTTTTTTTTTCTATTGACTAATAATTGTTAGTATCATGCCTATTGGAATTTTACGCCATATAGTTAGTCTTTGTTTTGCAAATTTTAATCTTTTTTATCTTCTAAATATTTTTGTCATAGTTCGAACTTTTTATTTATTTTAGTGCATGTCTTGCTGACTAAAACTATCCTTTGTGAAAAATATTCATCAAAATATTTTATTTTGAATATCCTTTAGAAGTATCTCCATGAGCAACAACAACAACAACAACAAGCCTTTATCATATTATGTGGGTTCGGCTACATGAATCCGTTTTCTCCATGTCCTGTTAAGAGTCAAATTCTCATCTAAATCTAATAAAGAAAGGTCATTTCTAATATGTTATAACAAAGTCTTTTTAGGATTACCTCTACCTTTCTTAACATAAGTCAAACTAATACATCTACTTTCCATGAGCTATATAAAAAAATATGAACTCTATGCCAATCTACGATGCACATACATGGACACGGTGACACGGATACGACATGAACATGGGACACTCCAATTATTGAAAATATAGGACATGGACACGGGTTGGACGGTATTATTATTTTTATATTTTTAAAATAGTATATAAGAATTGAATAAGTATAGTATTAAAAATAATTTAGAAATAATAAGTCACTTAACTAGAAATTGTGCTTAAAATGATTAATATTATGATGTTGAGAGTCGGGCATCGATGTTGGGTATCAGGCATCGAGAGAGGAGATAACAATGCTTTCGAGAGTCGGACATCGATGTTATGCAGTAAGTATCAAGTGTCAATGTCAAGAGAGTATCTGTCATCGATGTTGAGAGGGTATTGGTCGTCAATGTTAAGACGACGTCGGATGAAGATGAGTTGTCAAGTTGTGGGTGTAAAAATTGCTAGCGTCGAGCATTAATGTCAAGACAGTGTTAATGTTGAGATGATTTTGAAATGTCGAAGTTATGAAAATATTTGATGAATGTGGTATTGAGTACGAACGATTGATTTGATGTTGTGGATAAAAAATAAGAAATGTAGTTTTATATTTTAAACAAATAAAAATTTAAATACAAGAAATTGTATTTTAAAAAAATTTCATAAAATATTTAAGATATGTGTGTCGGACACGTGTGTCCAATTGATATTTAATATATTTTTAATATGACACGTTTTTTGCGTGTCGGACACTTGTCGGAGTCATATCAGACGTGTTTTGTATCGGATACGTTCGGACACTACACGACTCCTTAATGAGAAGTGTCAGTGCATCATAGATGCCAATTCTTAATGCAATCATAATGTAACTGAAAACACTTCGGTTATGTCACAATTACTTTTATTACTAATCAATACTACATCATGCATATCTTTAATATATTTTGCATGCCTTTGACTCTCACATTTGTTCTTTAGTGCATATTATATCAATTCTTGTGATATTTGATCATTTGCCATCTTAAATCAATAAAAATCATAATAAGATAATTTCTATTTCCTCCATATGTTTTTTATTAATTACTTTAACAAAAATTACTTTTATAATAGAGTTTTTTGTGTAAAAAACAAAATTGATTGTCTGTACCAATGTAATTTTTCCAAATCTTTTTAGAAAATTAGCTCGTTAATTTTCTTGGCAGAATATTTCATGAAATTTAATTAAAGTGACCTTAATTTCTGTGATTGTTACTTTTCATCTAGTTTTTAGATCTATAAGATTTAACTCCAAATAATCCCTAGTTATCATATGTAATTCTTCGGAAATTATTGTAAAGTGACCTACAATTTGCATTTAAGACGACAAGGTTATTTATGTTTAAGTGCAATAGGTTTTGTTCTTTTTTTATATGTCTTATCTTTACTGTTTCAGACTTTATAGCAAATCAAATTGATTATGGCTAATTGATACTGTAGTCAGCGGGTCATCGGAGCAATTAATGGGTTTTTGGTTTTCGGCATCATCATTTCATTTGCAGCCCTCGTGGTAAGAGCCTATCCACTATGACTTGTTTTGCTTTAGTTACTTCATTATTGAATAAACATTGTGTTATGTTAACTATGCCATACCTTCATTTTAGGCTCAAGGGTATTATGGACATGTTTTTTAGAAAATATAATTTTAGTTCTTGTTGATTGAGATTGGGTGCGTATAAATAGTGAGAGGAAGGAAATAAATATGTGAATATCCTCAATTAAGAGGATAAAAATGTAATTTTCTAATCCATTACTTCTCAAAGATAATACTTTCCAATATAGTATTTTTTCTACAATGTCACTCCCTTTCAAGGTGGAGCACACACATCAACAAGTTTCAATTTGTTATAGAGTTTAAGAAAATGAAGAGGTCCTAAAGCTATTGTTGACCTGCAATAAAAAATAAAATAAAAAATATCATAATCCCATACCTGCTCGCACGACATCACCCTCCCTCGCACGTCGCAAACACGTTCGCGGCGCTCCTTCCACGTTGCACGACCTTGCGTCGTTAAATAGCTGAAGAAATTCGCTCTCTTGGCTCTCCCGATCGCGCGCTTCTTCGGATCCTTTGCTGCTGTTCGACTTTACTCCGATGACGTTCCCTCCAAGTCAGATCAGAAGCTACGACGTTTAGGTCGGAAGCAACTACGGGAGCTCGCTCGCTGTGGAGGCAACTTTCTTCCTTCGACGCGCTTCTTTGCCCCTCCGACGACGTTCGTTCCTGTCGGAACAGAAGTTACAACAGTTCGATCGGGAGCGAAGATAAGAGTTCGCTTGATGTGGAGTAATCGTGATGGGGACATCAGCAACGATTTCGACACATGTACCTTCAGGAGATGCCGGAGATCGACGACCACGATCATGATCTATATTTTCATCATTTTATGTAGTAGTTTATTTTTATTTTATGTTTTTCCGTTTTTGCCCTCATGGGTATTTGGTAGCTATTGTAGCCCAAGCCCAAGGACATTTTAGTCTTTTGCGTCTTGTCATTTTGAGGCCTATATTAATAGGCTTTTTCTCATGTATATGTTAGTTTTTGATGAATAAATTTATTCTTGCTTGTGTGCCTGCCATTGTTGAGTGCAAACCTCGCACGTATCTCTTAGCTGAGTTCGTAGGAGAAGCTAGAATCTCTTTTTTTGTAAGTTCTAGGTTTTATTCCTTCGTATGCTATTTCCTTTAGTTCTCATTGTTCCAAGTTCGTTGTTGTGGAAATTTGGGATTGAGCTCATTAGTGGAGATATGGATTTTCATGTTTTTCGAATCCGAGATTTCCCCCACGAATCTCCAGACTCCACTTGCTCTTGCCGCCCGCCCCTCCCTGGATTGCCCATGCCGTGCGCCTGCAGCCCAACGCGACCGGCCAACAGCCACCCCGTTATAGGTCGGTGGGAGACGCACGCGTTATATTAGGCATATAATTTGCATATGTATTTTGGCGACGTCAGATGTATATAACACATTGATGCTTTATACTTTAGCTGTCTCTCGTCACCGAATGCGTCACTCTTACCAATATAGGTGCACGACACTGTATTAGGAGTATCATTCCACCCCTAGCTTGTTGTGCCCCTGAGTACATGGCTCAGTTTCTCATCGAGTCGCTGTGGGTCCGAGTAACAGTGAGGCCAGGCTGGAGAATATGACCGACATGTTCCTTTCTATATGATGAATAAGAGGATACTACATATACCGTTTATCGCTGATCACAGCGGTGCTGCGGAAGGCTGTACAAAGAGAAGCAGTCTTCAAGTGGTTTGAGAGATAGTATCTTAAGAGTGACTAGGTGATGCTATTGAATGACATGAATATACATTGTATTAAGTCATTATATTTTCTCTAATAACTGGAATTAAAATCAATTAGGTGGTACGTGAAATTCAATATCTAACAAAAACCTTTAAATAGTTATATAATTGTGACCCCTGTTTTACACAACGTTCTTAGAACTTACTTGCAATAAAAATTCCTTCTACAAAGTTGTTGTTTGCTTTGGGTTGCTTGAGCATTCAATGTTATTTTGACAAAAACTCCACATAAAGTTTTCAGACTGTCATAAAGGTAAATATTAGCTAATATTAAGCTGAAAAGTATCATAATGTCATAATAGTCCATTTTAACATTAATTATATTAATGATGAATCTCTTACACCTATTGTATTAAAGGCATCTATTGAAGTGTATGTGAACACAGACACATTAATATGTTTGATTTCATAGAAGACATATAGGTTAGAAAGTAAAATATGATCACATAACAATTTTGATGACTTTTAAGTATTATAATAGTTTTCATAGAAATATTGATTCATAAATCCTTTTGAACATCTACATCTACCATTATATTTATTGTTACCTTCAATTTACTACTTTTTATTAACTTTATATCGCGATCATATGCGTTAAATTTTTCATTAAATTAAATAGATGTTCTGTAAAATGGATGATACGGAAATATAGATTAATTTATAATTTAGTGTATAGATTTTAAAAAAAAATTTTTAGTGAAGGATGGACGAGAGAAATTTAGTCTCGACCACGCAGATCATGGCAGAGAGAGAGGAGAGAGAGGATGAGAGAGAGAGAGAGAGAGCAGGAGAGGAGAAGGTGGGGCTAGTGGACGGAGGTTGCCATCTATAATAATAAATGGAAAAGGAGAAGAGAGAAGGAGAGAGAAGATAGGTAACAGAGAAACTGGAAAGAGCGTGAAGCCAAGGAGCACCTATATGTTTTTTTTTCTTAGGGGGAGCACGTTGCCTTCTAGGCTCCTCCTCTAATACCGCCATCGAATAAATTCTCTCTCTTATCAGGTAATGAAAGGTTGAGTTTTATGAAATGTACCAAATAGATCTTAGAGATGACTTCTTCTCTAATTTTATTTACCAACTTGAGCTACTCCAAGCCTATTTCAGGCATATACCATTTCACATTTGTCACCCAGATTGAAAACATTGAATTCACGATGCATCCCCTCATCTTTGCAACGCTTTAATTTATATGCTTTCTCTCTATTGACCCAAGACATTGTTATGATTACAAATCAATGATTATAATTTTATAAAATCTAATGGTATATGAGAAGCTATGAATGAAGCAGTTAGACAATATGTTATATCTAGAGTTTCAAGCATTAATAGGCATATAGATATTAAAAGGGTTTTACAGTACAGACATTGAATTCTTTGACTGTTATATTCATTAATATATATATATATCTATTATAATATATATAATATATAATATAATATATTATTAATAAATAATATTATAATTTTATATAATTTATATATATTATATATACTATTTAATACTAATCTATTAGAATTGATGTCATATTTAGTTGTAGATTCTTTTGTCATCATTCTTTAATTTATTTTATTATGGTATTATGATCATAGTATATAGTACATTTGTCTACAATTAAAACATATAGCTGTGTAATTAAATGGTAGGCCAAGCATATAGAATTCTCGCGATTTTCACTGCGTCTCTGTCGACTTGCCCCTTTTACCCCATGCCTCCTTTCCAAGAAGCTAGAAGGAAGAGGCTTCTTCTTACATTAGAATCTAACACTAATCTTAATAATAATCAAAATATATGGAATGAAAATAGATTATTTTACTTTAAATATAGTTAATTCTAATTTTTGTTTAATTTATTTACAAGACTGTAAGCTGTTAAGTATGTAGATATAAATGATAAAGTATTTAACGTGATCAGATATTATCAATGACATAGTATGAATTTATTGATATTGATACAAAAATTGTTTGGCAGGGATGTCTCAAATTGGTTTACCTAATAGCTTACGGAATCCCTTGGTCAGCGAGCTCATCTCATCAATGTCCAGATGCGTTAAT